TGATCCAATCGAGCTGACATTTTCCACACAGACTCGTTGTGTGTGACAATTAATTTTCGTGAAAAAAAAATCCAACATTTTACACTGTTTAGGGAAAACTAATTAAATATTTAATTACCAATATGCTTAATGCTGGCAGACAATCATCTGACCCATAGGTGGCAGCCATCTCAAGCCAGAGGACGAGAGGACTCTAGCCGCCACGCATATAAAGGATTTATAGTGAAAAACTTTGTTTTTACGGGTTTACTTGTTCAGAAGCGACCTTGCCAGTTATGATAGCTCGACAAAGTTGCTTGTCATGTTGAAATGTATATCAGCCCAAATTCTCTAAACGCATGTTGATTGTAAATATGCAGGGACAAAACTGGAGGACCCGGAGAAAAATCCACACGAACAAACATACAGCAACAGGCGTCAGGGTCGCGATCGAACCCACGACCTCCTGTAGACCAGGCGAGGTAGTTAACATCTCCTAGCCACCCTGATGATGATGATGTGAGAAAGACACGCAAACTCCAAATATACAGCAGGCGTCAGGGTCGCGATCGAACCCACGACCTCCTGTATACCAGGCGAGGCAGTTAACATCTCCTAGCCACCGTGATGATGATGAGAGAGAGACACGCAAACTCGAAATCTACAGCAGCAGGCGCCAGGGTCGGGATTGAACCACGTCCTCCTGTATACCGGGCGAGGGTGTTAACATCTCCTAGCCACCGTGATGATGATGATGATGTGAGAGAGACACGCAATTTCAAATATACAGCAGGAGTCATGGTCGAGATCGAACCCACGACCTCCTGTATACCAGGCGAGGGAGTTAACATCTCCTAGCCACCGTGATGATGATGAGAGAGGGAGTGACACGCAAACTCCAAATACACAGCAGGCGTCAGGGTCGCGATCAAACCCACGACCTCCTGTATACCAATCGAGGGAGTTAACATCTCCTAGCCACAACATCTTCTAGCCACAAGCAAACAGCAGCGCCTTGGGGTCCTGTTCTGTGTGAAGCCCGGATCATGAGACCAGGGTCCACTGCTGTGCGCACCAGACATCCGTTGAAGGGACCTCAGAAGTAGTTCTGTGCTGTCCAGTTTTTTGGGGGCCAGTTTCTATTGCGGAGGGCTGCAATGCTGTTTAGAGTTTTCGAATTTCATTTGACACACATGCCTTTAAAGTTAATTTGGAGCTTTCGTGACTGCAGGAATTACTCTTTGGTTCTTTCGGTAAAGTCACGTAGAGAGAGAAAATAGAAATGAATATTATTATTTTTTTATTTTCTCTTTTAGCCCGATAACAAAATTAAGCAACAAATACATGAAACACATGTTGGGTGACTTGTATTAATATGTAAACAGACAAAGGAACGTGTTGCTCTTTTGTTCCTTCGGTAAAGTCACGTAGAGAGATAAAATAAAAAGGAATATGCTTTATTTATTTATTCTTTTCTCTTTCTACGTGACTTTACCGAAAGAACCAAAAAGTAACACGTTACTTTTGTTTGTTTACATATTAATACAAGTCACCCCACATATGTTTCGTGTTTTTGTAGCTTCAATTTGTTATCGGGCTAATCTGCCCTACCCGGCTTATGTTTGTGCACTACTTTAGATTTGTCACGTGACGACGCAGTTATTTTATTTCGATTACCCCAGAGCGGTCCATCCCATTTGCGGATGAACTGCGCACCTGAGATTTTGACGTAAATCAATACTGGTAGTCACCTCCTGGTGACACCAGCCCACGGGGGATTACTCTGTCCGTCGTGCAAATATGGGAGGGGAGGGTGGGGAGGGGCTGGGTGGAGAGGGGAGGGTGGGGAGGGGCTGGGTGGAGAGAGGAGGGTGGGGAGGGAGGGGCTTGGTTGGGAGGGGAGGGTGGGGAGGGGCTGGGTGGGAAGGGTGGGGCTGCGTGGGGAGGGGCTGGGTGGGGAGGGTGGGGCTGCGTGGGGAGGGGCTGGGTGGGGAGGGGCTGGGTGGGGAGGGGCTGGGTGGGGAGGGTGGGGAGGGGCTGGATGGGGAGGGTGGGGCTGGGTGAGGAGGGGCTGGGTGGGGAGGGGCTGGGAGGGGAGGGTGGGGAGAGGCTGGGAGGGGAAGGTGGGGAGGGGCTGGGTGGGGAGGGTGGGTAGGGGCTGGGAGGGGAGGGTGGGGAGGGGCTGGGAGGGGAGGGTGGGGAGGGGCTGGGAGGGGTGGGTGGGGAGGGGCTGGGTGGGGAGGGTGGGGAGGGGCTGGGTGGGGAGGAGCTGGATGGGGAGGGGCTGGATGGGGAGGGTGGGGAGGGGCTGGGTGGGGAGGGTGGGGCTGGGTGTGGAGGGGCTGGGTGGGGAGGGTGGGGCTGGGTGGGGGTAGAAGGGGTGGGGCTGGGTGAGGAGGGGCTGCTCACCCTTATAAAACTCAACGAAGATAGGAGCAACAGGTTCCACACTGCCCACCAGGGATTATTTGTCTGTCGTGCATCAGAATGCAGCCCACCCATTCACCCCCCCCCCACCGACCGCCGAGCAGGGTCACGATTGGTTGAGGATGTCGAGGAGGGAGGGTGGGGGGAAGGTAAACACGCCCAATCATCCAACTTCCCCCCCACCCCCCAAACGCCGAGCGGGGCGGCCACTGGTAGAGGTGGGGTGTGAACACGCCCACTCATGCAATCCCCTCCCCACCGAACACCGAGCAACGCCGCGATTGGTTGACGATGTCGGGGAGGGTGGGGGGGGAAGGGTAAACACGCCCACTCATCCAACTGCCCCCCCCCCCTCTTCCTGAACGCCACGCTGTCCAACCAAGTTCCTACCTTTCGATTTAAAGCTTTCGTGACTGCAGGGATTCATCTTCTTGGTTCTTTCGGTAAAGTCACGTAGAAGGGAAATAATAAAATAATAAAAATAAAACATTTTTATGTTTCGATTTAAAGCTTCTTTCGTGACTGCAGGGATTCATCTTCTTGGTTCTTTCGGTCAAGTCACGTAGAAGGGAAATAATAAAATAATAAAAATAAAACATAATAAAATCAAATAATTCTCACGACGTTTCGGCTACAACGCAAGCAGCCGTCTTCAGGTGAAGTCAGACCACCACTCAAATATGACGTCACCTGAAGACGGCTGCTTGCGTTGTAGCCGAAACGTCGTGAGAATTATTTGATTTTATTATGTTTTCTTTTATTATTCTATCACTTCCCTTCTACGTGACTTTACCGAAAGAACCAAGAAGACAAGTTCCTACCTGCCCACTCCGAAGGAACGTTTCACCTACTCACGCCGGCTTGTGCCCGCCCTCACAGTCGGGCATATTTGCGGAATACACCACGCCGCCGTTGACCCTGCAGGCCATTGACCGAGCAACCCGACGTTCCTACCAGCTCCCTCCGCAGCAGGAATGTGTTAACGCGTGGATTTTCCCTTAAGCCCAAATTAACAATCTAAAACAGTTTCACATTGTTAAACTTGGAAATGTTCATTGCAAGTCACGTGCTTGAACCGGACGGACATGTCGCTCCGGTTAATCCGAAATCCACGTGATCGGCTCTACAGTGCAGTAGTTGCAATATCTTTACAATAGTGAGCGGAGTTTGATGTTGATCGGCTGTTGTCCATCCACTTAGGGGGCATCCATAAATGACGTCACGCGATTTGGGACGATTTTTTACCCCCCCCGCCCCTCGTCACACGGCGTCACAAAGTCAGACCCCCCCCTCAAATATGACGTCACAAAGCTCTACCCCCCCCCCCCTCAAATAAAACATGCTTCTAATCGCTTTAAACTATTGTGATTGTAGTGCGTATTTAATGTGGCGCTGCACTCTGATGTTGTAGGGGAAAACATTTATCAAAAAATCTATTTAACTATGTAGAACGTGTTGTCTGTATTTATTTAAAGTTGTGCACTTTGATGTGACGTCACATTTCTCACCCCCCCTCGTCACACATCGTCACAAATGTCTGACCCCCCCCCCCACCCCTAGGTGCGTGACGTCATTTATGGACGGCCCCGAACACAAAAATTGTGATTATGTTAAACAGATCGACTGCGCGGCACGACCAGACGACAATTGGAACAGAATCGTTGATTAATCGGACTAGAATCGATGCCATTTTTAAATCCTTTATATTAAGTTCGCTTGCTTGCTTGCGTGCTTGCTTGCTTACGACCGTGCAAATCTTTCGGTCGTTTTTTAACCCACTTCCCGTGATCCAATCGAGCTGAAATTTTGCACACAGACTCGTTGTGCGAGACAATTAATGTTCGTGAAATTTTTTTTCCAAAATTTGACACTGTTTAGGGAAAACAAATTAAATATTGAATTACCAATTGCTTAATGGTGGCAGACAATCATCTGACCCATAGGTGGCAGCCATCTCAAGCCAGAGGACGAGAGGTCTCTAGCCGCCACGCATATAAAGGATTTAGAGTGAAAAACTTTGTTTTTACGGGTTATACTTATTATCGATTAGGGCCACCCGGTTTCAGTCACGCCTACCCGCCTGTGCACATGCCCGAATCAGCCAATCAGCGCGCGACTATGTGACGTCACGAGAGTTAAAGACCCCCCCGCGCCACCGACTACAAAACTAAATAAATAAACTAATTCTTTACGTGCAAAGGAATACCGACATGAATGTACACACGCGTATATGCTTCACAAATATAACTTTTAAGGCCACAAATTTAATAACGAATAAAAAAATTTCACCCCCCCCCACCCCCCAAGATTTTCGCTCTTCCGACTTCCGCCCCCGCTCGCCCTCCCCCCCCCCCGCCGACTTCAAAACGAAATTTAAAACACAAATTATTTACGTGCAAAGCAATGCGCACCTAAATGTACACGTATATTTCTCAAACATTATTAGAAGGCCACAATTTTTAATGACGGATTAAAAAAAAAAATCCTTCTTAAGACTTCCGGTCGCTACGCCCCACCCCCACATACCCCCACCCGCCCCGCCCCCCACCGCTGATTGCCGCACCACGTGACCGTCGCGGACCAATCGGCGCGCGCAGTTGGTTTGGCGGGTTCCTCTCGCTGCTCCGCTCTGGTTTTTCTTCGGCCTCCACCATCACCACCACCACCATCACAACCACCACTCGCTTTCCCCGTCACTTTACCTGCTCTTTCAAACCGCGCCTCGGCCTCGCCTACCCCTCCTCCACTTCGCCTTCGAACGCCGTCAAAATATTCGCCGGCGAAGATTTTCCCCTCAGGAGACCCCCCCCTCACCCGCCCTGCCCGCCCGCCCGCCCCGCTCTGCCCTGCTCTGCGTGCTCCATTGACGTCGCGGTCACTTTCTTTATTAATTGCCGTGGTTTCTTTTTGTTCCTCATCGTCATTCGCGTGGTCGACGACGATTTTCGTTGGTGAGTAGAACACGTTTACAGCTGTCGTGGTGCGGCGTGCGAGGCGCGGGTAATCTGCGTACAGTGCAACCATAATGCGTGTACAGCACTAACCCGTGTACAATCATAATCTGTGTACAATCATAATCAGTGCACAGTCATAATCAGTGTACAACCCACCCTGTGCACAACACTAATCAGTGTACAACCCACCCTGTGTACAATCATAATATGTGTACAATCATAATCTGTGTACAACCCACCCAGTGTACCACACTAACCAGTGTACAACACTAACCAGTGTACAACCCACCAGTGTACCACACTAACCCGTGTACAACCCACCCAGTGTACAACCCACCCAGTGTACAACCCACCCAGTGTACCACACTAACCAGTGTACAACCCACCCAGTGTACCACACTAACCAGTGTACAACCCACCCAGTGTACCACACTAACCCGTGTACAACCCACCCAGTGTACAACCTTAACCCGTGTACAACCCACCCAGTGTACCACACTAACCAGTGTACAACCCTAGCCCGTGTACAACACTAACCAGTGTACAACCCACCCAGTGTACCACACTAACCCGTGTACAACCCACCCAGTTGGACAACCCTAATCCGTGTACAACCCTAATCCGTGTACAACCCTAGCCCGTGTACAACACTAACCAGTGTACAACCCACCCAGTGTACAACCCTAATCCGTGTACAACCCTAATCCGTGTACAACCCTAATCCGTGTACAACCCTAATCCGTGTACAACACTAACCAGTGTACAACCCACCCAGTGTACAACCTTAACCCGTGTACAACCCACCCAGTGTACAACCCACCCAGTGTACCACACTAACCAGTGTACAACCCACCCAGTGTACAACCTTAACCCGTGTACAACCCACCCAGTGTACAACCCACCCAGTGTACAACACTAACCAGTGTACAACCCACCCAGTGTACAACCTTAACCCGTGTACAACCCACCCAGTGTACCACACTAACCAGTGTACAACCCACCCAGTGTACAACCTTAACCCGTGTACAACCCACCCAGTGTACAACCCACCCAGTGTACAACACTAACCAGTGTACAACCCACCCAGTGTACAACCTTAACCCGTGTACAACCCACCCAGTGTACCACACTAACCAGTGTACAACCCACCCAGTGTACAACCCACCCAGTGTACCACACTAACCCGTGTACAACCCACCCAGTGTACAACCCACCCAGTGTACCACACTAACCCGTGTACAACCCACCCAGTGTACAACCCACCCAGTGTACCACACTAACCCGTGTACAACCCACCCAGTGTACAACCCACCCGTGTACAACCCACCCAGTGTACAACCCACCCAGTGTACAACCCACCCAGTGTACCACACTAACCCGTGTACAACCCACCCAGTGTACAACCCACCCAGTGTACCACACTAACCAGTGTACAACCCACCCAGTGTACAACCCACCCAGTGTACAACCTTAACCCGTGTACAATCCACCCAGTGTACAACCCACCCAGTGTACAACCTTAACCCGTGTACAACCCACCCAGTGTACAACCCTAGCCCGTGTACACGCGCGTCAGGGGCAGCAGCAGTAGTAGCCCGTGATGTTTGTGCAGCTGAGTTAGACACCGAGTAAAGGGCTGCAGCAGCTGCTGCTTCTCAGAAACCCGAGATGGCAAGAGGGCCACGCCTGGGTCTGAGTGTGCAAGTGTGTGTGTGTCAGTGTGTGTGAGTGTGCAAGTATGTGAGGGTGTGCAAGTGTGAGTGTGTGTGAGTGTGCAAGTGTGAGTGTGCAAGTATGTGAGGGTGTGCAAGTGTGAGTGTGTGTGAGTGTGCAAGTGTGAGTGTGCAAGTATGTGAGGGTGTGCCAGTGTGTGTCTGTGTGTGAGTGTGCAAGTGTGTGCAAGTATGTGAGTGTGTGTGCAGAGTGTGTGTGCAGTGTGCAAGTGTGTGCAGTGGGTGTGTGCAGTGTGTGTGTGTAGAGAGTGTGAGTGTGCAACTGTAACTGTTTGAGTGTGTGAGTGTGCAGTGTGTGTGTGCAAGTGTGTGACTGTGCAAGTGTGTGTGTAACTGTTTGCGGGTGTGAGTGTGTAACTGTGTGTGATTGCAACTGTGTGTGAGAGAGAGTGCAATTGTGTGTGTGTGTCCATCTGTGTGTGCGCAACTGTGTGTGTGTGAGAGTGCAACTGTGTGTGTGTCCATTTGTGTGTGTGTGAGGGAGTGTCCATTTGTGTGTGTGTGTGAGGGAGTGTTCATCTGTGTGTGTGTGCGCAACTGTGTGTGTGAGAGTACAACTGGGTGTGTGTGAGTGTCCATTTGTGTCTGTGTGAGGGAGTGTCCATCTGTGTGTGTGTGTGTGCGAGTGCAATTGTGTGTGTGAGAGAGTGTGCAGGTGTGTGTGTGTGGAAGTATAACCGTGTGGGTTGTGTGTGTGCGCAATAATTGTGATTGTGAGTTCGTATGAATTTTGAGTCTCTAAGAGACTCCAACCATTTTTTTACGAGCTATTTCACGTGTGTGTCTGGAGTGCGTGTCAAAGAATGAGTGTAAGCGTGAAATATGAGTGTGGAAGTGAGTGAATGGATGATTTGCTTGAGAACGTGTGGGTGAATGTGAGCGTCTGAGTGTAAACGTGATTGTGACATTGAGTGTTTCATTACCAACCTAAATTCCACACCAACTCGATAATTCAATCGCACATATTCACTTTCACGCTCATTTACACACTTATTATTGCGCACACATTCAATCACACGTATGCATTGATTCTCGCAATCACACATTCACTTAGTCACGCGTACGCACAAAGACAAAGATCCCCCGTACAGCCTGGCCGGCACGGCACACGAGGGGGTAGGTGGCCAACACCACGCCCGGCCGCCTTTGTATCCCTAGTGGCGCAATCTACTCATTTGATGCTGAGTGAGGATGCCGAGGAGTTGTTCTGATAACAGTCACTGGTGTTGGCCGTGAGCGGGAATCGAACTCGGGTCACCAGGTTCGTAGTGCAGTGCGCTAACCCCACTACACTAACCCCACTACACTAACCCCACTACACTAACCCCACTACACTAACCCCACTACACTAACAACACTACACTAACAACACTACACTAACCCCACCACACTAACAACACTACACTAACAACACTACACTAACCCCACCACACTAACAACACTACACTAACAACACTACACTAACCCCACTACACTAACCCCACTACACTAACAACACTACACTAACAACACTACACTAACCCCACCACACTAACAACACTACACTAACAACACTACACTAACCCCACTACACTAACAACACTACACTAACAACACTACACTAACAACGCTACACTAACAACACTACACTAACAACACTACACTAACAACACTACACTAACAACACTACACTAACAACACTACACTAACAACACTACACTAACCCCACCACACTAACAACACTACACTAACAACACTACACTAACCCCACTACACTAACAACACTACACTAACAACACTACACTAACCCCACCACACTAACAACACCACACTAACAACACTACACTAACCCCACTACACTAACAACACTACACTAACCCCACTACACAAACCCCACTACACTAACCCCACTACACTAACCCCACTACACTAACCCCACTACACTAACAACACTACACTAACCCCACTACACTAACAACACTACACTAACCCCATTACACTAACAACACTACACTAACCCCACTACACTAACAAGACTACACTAACCCCACTACACTAACAACACTACACTAACCCTCCCCAGACATACGTACTGGCGCGCACACAGACGGACTCTCTCTCACACGGAGTCAATCTAACACATTCCTGCGGAGGGAGCTGGTAGGAACGTTGGGTTGCTCGGTCAATGGCCAGGGTCAACGGCGGCGTGGTGTATTCCGCAAATATTCCCGACTGTGAGGGCGGGCACAAGCCGGCGTTGAGTTTTATAAGGGCACCACGGGGTGACCAGCCCCTTCCCACCCAGCCCCACCCCTCCCACTTAGCCCCACCCCTCCCACCCCAGCCCCTCCCCACCCCCTCTTCTCCCCACCCAGCCCCTCTCCACCCTCCACACCCAGCCTCTCCCCACCCTCCCCTCTCCACCCAGCCCCATCCCTCCCATTTTTAGATACACGACGGATGCATACAATAATTCCCTGTGGGTTGGTGTTTTATAAGGGCACAACGGGGTGACCAGCCCCCCACCCAGCCCCACCCCTCCCACCCCCCCACCCCTCCCACCCCCCCACCCAGCCCCACCCCTCCCACCCCTCACCCAGCCCCTCCCCACCCAGCCCCACCCTCCCCACCAAGCCCCTCCCCTGCACGACGGACACAATAATCCCCTGTGGGCTGGTGTAACCAGGAGGTTCCTACCATACCAGTATAAACGTATAACCTAGTGTTTTAGGCCAGTATTGTGAAGTAACGCTGACGAAATGATCACACACTCGCACACATCCTCTTTCACCCTGACACTACTTGCACAAGTACACAACAAAGATCCCCCGTGTAGCCTTTAGCAGACTGATGGGGCAAGAGCGAGCGCCTATGAAGATCAGAACCCGCACACGGAGGGGGTGGGTGGCCAGCACCACGCCTGCCCACTTTTGTCTCCCCATTGGCGATGTTTACACACCACACCAGGTCCTCATTTGAGGCGGAGTCGACCTAGGGGAGGCCGAGGACCAGTTCAGATAATCATCACCGGTGTTGGCCGTGAGTGGGAGTTGAACTCGGGTTGCCGAGTTTGTAGCGCAGTGCCTCTAACTCGCTACACTATCGCTCCCCACACACAACAACACACACACACGGTCTCAAACATACACATACACAATCTCACGCTGACACATTTCCCACGTGTACACACACACACGTGTTCTACACACACGTTCACAAATATGTGGGTGTTGTAAACCGTGTATAAAAGTGGTCAGTAACTACAAAGACAAAGATCTCCCGTAT